GATGATACGATTAGTATAAATAGTAATGATTCTCAAAAAATATAAATGTAATACTAGAAAATTACTTATAAATTTCTATTGTATACGAGATTTTTATCTCCGGCAACTAAGTATATGATAGTATGATTAGAAGTGAGTGCAAAGTGAATATAGATAAGAACTAGTAAGATAAAAAATTTCGAGTGAAGATTTGCATTTGAAATTGAGAATTGTACTTAAATTGACTTTTTAAGAAATGAAACATATTACGTCTAAAGAAACAAACTGGAATATTTTAGTGCAAATACTTGAATATGTATTATCGAAAAAAACAAATTTTTTTTAGCGTCTGCTTTAGAATTATTTATTTATTCTTGAATTTATCAATTTACATCTCAGTGATTTTAAAGAAAAAAATTCTTGAATTAGAATACAATAACAACTTTATTCTTTATGTACAATATCAATAACTTCCACACATAGAATATCCTTGCTCATACTACATAAGAAATAAGCGATGAGAACCATTGCCAGTATTTACTCGTCTACGAAGCCATCATGATAAGAAAAGATATAAAAAGAATGTTTTATGATACAGAATAGCAAATTATTCACATTAGAAAAATATACAGTAGGAAGCAAAAACAGTTTTTTTCGTTTCTTCAGCAATTGTTCCAGAATTATTTGCAGACATCAGGTACTGACTTTGCACTTCTATCGAGATCGACTTCGATCGAAATTGTAAAAACGTCTTATGATTCAAATACTAACTGTTTATTAGCTGATCCATAACGAAGATATCTAATCAGTCTCGTATAGACAAAATCATTATCCGACCATTTGATAATACGAGCTTCAAGCTAGTTAAATAATTCTACTATTTCATTTAACGACTTCTTATGACTGATTATTAGATGATACAATATCTTTTGTTTAATTTTATTGTAAACTTGAAAACAAAATGATCTATTCATTCTGTTTAAATAACAAAACAAATAATTATTTTCTTGATTTAAGTCTTTTAACTGATTTTGTTTTTTTCTTTTCAACACGTTTTTTCGTTCGTCTTGACATTTTTCCTTTCTTCTTTTTTGATGAACCATTTGATTTATCATCAAATAATACACTAGCATCATGTATATGATCCATAATATCATTTCCATTAGGCATCATTGATTGTTGTAATTGTACACGTTCACGTTTTGTTTGTGGTAAACGTTTCATGTATTCTTCTTCATAAGCAATCTTTTCTTTATATGCTCGATTTTGTTTTGACATACGACTACGTTCACTATTATAAATTTCTTCAGGTGCATCGGAATATTTATTTTTATAATCTTCTAATATATCTGAATGATAAGCACGTCGTTTAAGATGTTCAAGACGTTTATCAGTTGTTCCTTTTCCTTGTTTATCATCAAAATCTTCATTGTATTCAACTGGTACAAGTTTTGGTGGTCGATATAGTTTTGGTTTTTCTTTATCATCTTGTTTTTCATCATTCATTTCTTCATCTTCATTCATATCTTCATCAAAATTTCCTATATTAGCACGAAAATTTAATTGTTGATCAACATTATTTTTAAGTAATTTATCCATTTGATAATGTAATTTTTGTTCAATCGGACGAATTTTTTCAATAAATGTTCGAATTTCACAAAGACGTAATATAATTGAACGTGTTGATGAATTATTTAATGTTTGATTTGGTGTTGATCGACGATACATAACAGTAACAAGATTAGTTAAATAATGAAAAAGTAAATCATTTTTTATTGCTAATAATGATATACCACCATTATCATTAATATTTGAACTAATTTGTTCATCTAATGGTGAAGATTTTTCAAAAAGAAGAATATGTTTAAGAAATTCACGTAGTTGTTCATTAAGTTCTTTATATTTTGTTAATGTTCGTGAACGAGTAGTTTCCTGATCGGTCATTATCGATTTGAAATAGATTTATGGAAGAAGATTTTTATTGATTGCTTGGGTAGGGTTTTTATGTAAATGTAATAACGCCACTTCATATAAGAAAAATAAAACGAATGTAGCGATTCTGTTTATAAAATAAGAATTTGATTTTATTGGTCGGATAATATTTTTCTGTTCTTGCTTTGTAAATAGTCTAACAGTCATTCATCAAAGCAAAGTAACAGGGAAAGAAAGCGTAAATACATAAATTTCCTTTTTTTTAACTTGAATTTCGTCTTTATATTTCTTCGAGTTATTTTGTTGCATCTTTTTATTTCATTCAACAGTTACATAATGAACACTTGATACAAGTAAATTACAATTTTTTCTTGAAATTACTGAATTTTTTAATTTATTAGTAAGTTTTTAAAAGTTGCAATTGCAATTATTAAAAAAACATCACTTGTTGTTGTTCTTCACGTCTATGTAGACATCTATATTAAAAATAA